TTTGATAAACTTACCAATATATTCTTTTTGACACTGAAAGGTGTAATTGTCAATGTCACATATTGTTTTTGGCTTGATGGAGTTGAATCTCTCCATTTCGGATGATTGTTCTTTCTCTCCCATGACATGCTCTCCTCTTTGTTATTCTCATTGTTGCTGATCTTGTCTTTGTTGCTACTATCTATGAAATGAGATTGTTTCTCAATAGCTCTTAAAAAATCTTCTTGCTCTGTGTCACTGTTCGATTCTACACAGCACAAACTAAGCACATGAGTTGTTTCTTCCCATATCAACTTGAGCGTGAATCCCGTCTCTAAGCTGTTTGCTTTGACAAAATCTTTCCAACCCTTTCCCAAAAACATTGTTCCTTTACTGTCCAGTAGAAGATTTGTCAACCACCTTCTACCCGCTTTATCCAAAAGAATTATCTCCCCAGGCTTGTTGATGCCATTCTCCCTAACGAACGGCGCTGGAAGATTCTGTAGATATTTGAATTGAAGCCGAATAAACATGCGTCAAAATTAATAGAATCAAGAGTTGTTTCTGATAAACTTACCAATCTTCCAAGCCTAGCATAATCTGGTGGAAGTGTAAATGTTACAAATCGCTTATGACATGGCGAATATGATGAATATGGTGAACCTCTTCGTTTCAGACTATACTTCTTTTTTTCTTTCTCCATCAATGACTCTAATGATCTGCACTCGTCTTTACTGCCCTCCCATGTTATGTTCTCTTCCTCACTGCTAAGTTTTGTGGCAACAGATTCTCTCCTGCTAGCTTCTGAACAGTATCTTTGCTTTCCGTCATTGATCGATTCTGTAGGACGGAAACTGAGCACCAGTGTTTCCCCGTTTCCCACTAGTTTAAACATAAAGAAACCTTCTGCTTTTTGTCCGTTTTCATCACAGAAATTTCTCCAACCTCGGCTTATATAAAAAGTATCAGATGATTCATTGAACTTTAGATCCAATTCCCAAGATCTTTCCCCTCCATCTCTTAAAACAATCTTGTGACATTTTCTTGTAAGACCATTTGAGCTTGTAAAATGTGGTGGAAGATACTGTAAGCACCAGATTAACACAAGACTCAGATTAGTTTACTTAGGGGACACTTTGTATATCGCTTGGACAAAAAAAAGGTTAAGGCACTTTCAGCATTTCCTCATGACTCTTTGTTTAGTTTCATGACTAACCAACTTAACAATAATATAGCAAACGTAAACAAACACTTTCTTTAGTTACATGATCCTATATGCATGAAAGTAGGGGTAGTAGGCAATTAGAGCATATCGAACCTGAATTCCGACAAGGTTTCTCCCACACGAAAGTAAACAACAATGAACCAAAGCCAACTTGAAGCTAAAATACATACAGTTACCTAAGATGTTTTATCAAACCGAACCAAAACAAAATTGAAGTTAACTTTTGATTTTGCTTCAACAATTTTTCTGCCAAACCAAACTAGACTACACTTAAATGCTCAACCCTATAAACAACCGTACAATTGGTAATATTAGTATGAGGTTTTGGTCAATGCAAGAATAAAGTACCAGTGTATCTGCGCGTAGATTCGAAGCCGTGACAAGAGCCACAAAACATGATTTGTCTGATAAAGAAGAACCTGCTTCTTCTTCTAAACTGTTCATCTTTGCTTTCTTCTCTCTTGGATGCTCTGTATCAGAGAAACATCCCACAGGTTAAAACCTTGGATACTTTTATTATAATACAATTGAATACAAGAGAATTGAAAGTTACCTATGTCATCCTCATCATCATGATCAACATCACCATTGTTTGATGAAGAGTCTACTTTAGTATCTATGAAAAGAGACCGTTTCTCGATAGCTTTTGAAAACTCTTCTTGCTCTCTGTCACTGTTAGATTCTGCATAGCACAAACTAAGCACAGGAGTTGTTTCCTCCCATATCAACTTGAGCGTGAAGCCCGTCTCTAAGCTGTTTGCTTTAACAAACTCTTTCCAACCCTTTCCCAAAGACATTGTCCCTTTACTGTCCAGTAGAAGATTTGTTAACCACTTTCTACCATGTTTATCCAAAAGACATATCTCCCCAGGCTTGTTGATGCCATTCTCCCTAACGAACGGCGCTGAAAGACTCTGTAGATATTTGAACAGAAGCCGATTAAACGTGCGTCAAAACTAATAAGCACAGAATCAGGAGTTGTTTTTGATAAACTTACCAATCTTCCAATTCTAGCATAATCCGGTGGAAGTGTAAATGTTACGAATTGCTTATGACTTGGCGAATATGATGAATATGGTGAACCTCTTCGTTTTGCACTATACTTCTTTTTTTCTATATCCATCAATGAGTCCAACGAGCTGCACTCGTCTTTACTGCCCTCCTTTGCAATGTTCTCTTCCTCACTGTTATGTTTTGTGGCAACAGATTCTTTCCTGCTAGCTTCTGAACAGTATCTTTGCCTTCCATCATTGATAGATTCTGTAGGACGGAAACTGAGCACAAGCTTTTCCCCGTTTCCCACTAGTTTAAACATAAAGAAATCTCCTGCTTTTTGTCCGTTTTCATCACAGAAATTTCTCCAACCTCGGCTTATATAAAAAGTATGAGATGATTCATCGAACCTCAAATCCAATACCCATGATCTTTCCCCTCCATCTGTTAAAACAATCTCGCGGTTTTTTCTTGTAAGACCATTTGAGCTTGTGAAATGTAGTGGAAGATACTGCAAGCACCAAATTAACACAAGACTCAGATTAATTTACTTAGGGACTGCTATGTATATCACAGGCATTTTCAGAATTTCCTCACGATTCTTTGTTTAGTTTCATGACAAACCAACTTTACAATAATGTAGCAAACGTGAACAAACATTTTAGTTACATGATTCTATATGGCATGAAAATAGTGGTAGTAGTCAGTTAGAGCAAATCGAACCAATCCAAATAAAGCCAAATCAGCACAAACAGAATCAAACAAAATTCCCGGCAAGGTTTCTCCCACAAGAAAGTAGACAAAGATGGACTAAATCAGCCTTGAAAGCTAAAAATACATACAGTTACCATAGATGTTTTACCAAACTTAACTTATTATTTTGCTTCAACAGTTTTTCTCCCAAACCAAAGTAGACTACATAGAGTTAAATTGTGGTTGATTAAACCAGAATATGTAGAAACAAGTAGTATGATATTGAGGTCAATGCAGGAGTAAAGTAAATACCATTGTATCTATCGTTAGATCCAAAGCAGTGACAAGGGCCACAAAACATGAGTTATCTGCTGATGAAGAAGAAGAAACTGCTTCTGCTTCTTCACTGTTCGTCTTCGCTTTCTTCTCTCTGGGAAGCTCTGTATCAAAAACCTCACATACTTTTACTTGGACTCATATAATAGAATAGCATTCGAGAGAGGTGAAGTTACCTTCGTTATCACAAACATCTCCATTGTTTGATGAAAAGTCTACTTGATGCAAACGCTTTCTCAACAAAATTTTACCTAATTTAGCAAATTAACACTTCTTTTCTTACTAAACACATCTTTGAAACATTGATCTCCTAACATAGAATCAAAATCCAGAACAAGACTTACTTACCCTCATTGTCAGGTCCTAAATTAGAAACATGGAACACCAAATCTCCAACATATCTAAAAACGACAACATCGCCGATACGAAAATCATTAGCCACCACAAAATCTTCCCAGCCGTCAGTGATTCTCCGATCAGACAACTTCACTTTCCAAAATTTGTCCGAAACGTCCGATTTCAGCTCCGCGAAACTTGTTCCTTCAATATACTTTAAGAAGAAATCTTCAGGAATCATCTACAACAACAACAACAACACAAAAACAAAGATGAAACAGAAGAAAATCTCTGAATTAAAAAAAAAAAAGAGAAGAAGAAGAGATAGTTACGAAGTGTGTGTGAAAGCTAGGAACAAGTGTGTGGAAGAATTGCGGATAAATCCTTGATGTCGCCATTGTTGAAGAAGCTCACTTCAAGAGAAGAAACAAACAAACAAACAAACCCTAGAAACTTTCCTTATTAAGTAACAATTTTTTTTTCTGTTTTCTGTTTTTGAGCACAACAAATTGGTAAAAAAAAATGCATGTTTGTCGAAATTAACACAGAGACGCTTATGATTGTTGTGTGGAAGAATCGGAATCTCCGATAATTTCTCCGTCTCGCTCCGGCCAAATCGTAGAAGCTTCCCCATCTCTCGACAGATAAATTGGGCCTGAGGAAATATGAGATGGGCTGGACTTGGGCCTATAAAATTCTCAAACAGTTGAAAGAAACTCAATAAAAATTTGGATCGGTTCCGTTTGGTTCTACATAGTTCGGTTGGGGAATTTTAGAATCTATTTGGGATATTTTGGTTCGGGTACAGTTTAGTAATTTTTTGGTTCGAGTCCATTAGGATATTTGAATAGAAAACCAAAATAGAACAGTAATTTTTTTGGTTTCGGTTCAGATAGTGTTTTTACCCGAACTATCCGAAATACTGAAACTATTTTAAATACACATTAATAAAAACTATAAAATTGTTTCATTTGGTTTAATTTTGCGAAACAAATTGTTTAATTTTGACAAATATAACCAAACAATATAGTTTTGGATATGTTGATTATTTAAAGTATTTTGATTATTTTTCGAATCTAAACATAACTAATATTTGGGGGTAATTATTATAATTTTGGATAAATGGTTATTATTTTCGGGTCATCAGGTGTTTCGGATACTCATTGGTTTTTGTTTGGTATAATATAGTTTGGTACAAGATTCGAGGATCTTTCGCGTATTTTGAAATTTTGGTTCGATTTATTTTGCCTATCCCTAAGAACAACAATAAAACAAAATGAAAAATTTTGGCAAGATAAATTCCAAAATTGCATATTAAAAAAAAAAAAAAACAAGATAACTTTGAAAACAACTCCATACTAAATCCTAATAGAGGAAGGACGACGAGTAATATCCTCTCTATCTCCGTATATATACACATAATCTATCTTTCTCTATTAGAGAAAAAAAAACAGAACAGAGAGATCATAAACAATGACGTTCAAAGAAGAGGTGCCTCAAGAAGATATCGAGTGTGTGGAAACATTACTGATTATGAGTAGCTCAAAGCCAGCGCCGGAGGAGTATAAGAGACTTCAGTTATGTATACTTGGAAGAAACAAAAGCTCGACGATTACTACTTCTTTTTCTACCTTCATGGAGTCGAGAGGCCATATTCGCGACTGCGCATTAAGAGAATGTCCATCAAAACGCACTAGAAACAGACGTGATGTCCCTCCTATGTCTCCTCCCATGGAACAACGACAATCTAAGAAGGCAAAACGCAATACGAAAGCTTCTTCTTCCAAGACAAGAGAACCGACGCCAGGGTGGCTTATCAGGTTGATGAGAAGAAAGAACGGTAGAGAGCACGAAGACAATTCGAAGAAGATCATAGATAAAGAATTAACCGCAACCGATGTCCATCCAAACAACAATCGTCTCTCAATACCTCTCAGCAACATTGTGGAATTGGAATTCTTGAACCACGAGGAAAAAAGGGCCATAGAAGAAGATGCCAATAAGGTTAACAAAGAAGGAGTAGACGCGATACTCGTGACTTCTGATCTAAGAGAATTTCCGGTGAATTTGAGGTTGTGGGACATGAGAGGCAGTCTTCAATACAATTTGGTTACAGGGTGGAATCAAGTGGTTGAAGATTGCCGTCTAAAGAAAAAAAGAAATATTCGCCTCTGGTCTTTCCACTCCAATGATAAACTCTATTTCGCTCTCGTTCCTCTCTCCGTTAGTGATCAATGATAAAACTATTGATGACTTGCCTGACAAGTAAGCTTGGGTGTTTTTTATTTTAAAGGTAGTTTCTAGGATTTTTTTTTCAATTGTTGATGAAATTTTTAGTTTTTTTTTTTAATGTGTGGTGTCTTTGTTTTGGATTTTTTTGTTAAGAATCTTTTGCATTGTATGCTTATTTAGATTTTCAATTTTTCAATCAACTCTGTTAACTTTATTTCAGTTCATAATTAGGTGTCATTCTAGGAGAAACTCATTATAGATAGTTTATAGAATAACAAAATCACAAGCTCATAATCATATTTAAACTTAACAAACAAAAAGGCCTTTAGTTTTAAAGGAAGGCTTGTGAACTTTACATGCTTATAGTTAAAAACTTTTTTTTTGTTACTCTACGGAGTTGGACCAGAACTTAAACACAGGAGTTGTGTCTTGTTCATCAATATATTCCAAAGTGAATGACTCCCCTGTCTTAACGCCATTAGCTTCACAGAAACCCTTCCAACCAGATCCCAGAGCCACAATTCCATTTTTTGACAGTAGATATGCAAACCACTTCGTTCTGTTTTGACCCACCAAAGTTATCTTCCCGAGCTTGTTAATGCCATTAGCTTTCATGAATTGACTTGGAAGAATCTGCAAAAGATTTGAATAAACACACCTCGTAACAAATTAGAATCAAGACAGAAAACTGACCCCTCTTTGAAACAAGAGTGGTTTGATGGAACTTACTAGTTTACAGGCGCTGACATCTTCTGGTGTGAGTGTTAATGTCACATATCGATTTTGGATTGCTGAAGCTGAGTCTCTCCTCTCCTCTCTGTTGCTAGTGGCTTTCCTGTTTTTGTTTCCTCTGCTAGCTTCTGCAGAAATCGACTCCTTCTCGCTATCTTTGGAACACTCTCCTTGCTGACTTTTATCACTTGTGGACTCTGTACTGACCAAACTGAGCATACGAGTTCCGTTCTCCAAAACTGCCTCCAACGTGACAGATTTGCTGCTCTTTAAGCCGTTTGCTATAACGAAATCTTTCCAGCCCTTTCCGAGACACATAATTCTTGTGTTTTCCCGTCGAAGATTTGCCTCCCATTTTGTACCATCTTTGTCAACCAGAGTTATTATCCCAGGTTTGTCCAAGCCATTATCTCTTGCAAATGACATTGGAAGATTCTGCAACATAATAGAACAGATAACATACTTAATAAGAGTGCAAGACATAAAACTAATTTACCCTCTGAAACAAGATTTGATTGATGAACTCACCTGTCTTCTGAGGCTGTCATGTGTTATTGTTAATGTCACGAACGGGTTCATGCTTGCTGGAAATGAGTCTCTCCTCAGGTCTCTGTTTTTCATGGCTTTCCTTTTTCCACTGCTAGGTTCTGTAGATTTTGACTCTTTCTCGCTATCTTTTAAACACTCTCCTTGCTGGTTTCTATCACTTGTGGACTGTGTACTGACCAAACTGAGCATACGAGTTCCATTCTCCAAAACTGCCTCCAACGTGAAAGATTCGCCGCTCTTTAAGCCGTTTGCTATAGCGAAATCTTTCCAGCCTTTTCCCAAATTCATTCTTTCGGTGGCTTCCTGTCGAAGATATACCTCCCACTTTGTACCATCTTTACCCAATAAATTTATAATCCCAGGTTTGACCAAGCCATTTTCTCTCATAAATGCCAATGGAAGATGCTGGAATATGTGTTCACAGAGAATATAGCAAATTAGAGTGCAAGTGATAAAACTAACTAACCCTTAGAAACAAGAGTTGTTTGAACTCACCAGTCTAGAACTTCTTAGGCTGTCATGTGTAAGTGTTAATGTCACAAATTGGTTTTGGCTCGGTGAAGTTGAATCTCTACATCTCATACGCTTCTTCTTTCTCGCCAGCTCCATACAGTTTTCTTTGTTGTTCTTGTCTCCTTGTGTTCCATCGTTGATGGATTCAGTGGAACAGAAACTAAGCACCGGAGTTTCCCTGTTTCCAACTAGTTTGAAAACAAAGACACCTCCTGCTTTTTTACCGTTTTCATCACAGAAACTTCTCCAACCTCGGCTTATGTAGAAAGTATCAGATGATTTGTTGAACCTCAGATCCAATGACCATGATCTTTCCCTTTCATCTATTACCACAATCTCACGGCATTTCCTTTCAAGACCAATTAAAGCTGTCAAATCTTGTGGAAGATACTGCAACAAAAGGGTTCAGGCATTTTCAGCACAAAACTAAACAATAATATAGTAAACGTGAGAAAACACTTTCTCTAGTCTCAGGATTATACATGAAATAAGCAAAATCAAACCAGACCAAACAGAATCGAAATGAAATTGTGTTTAACTTCAGTATTCACACCAATGTAAACCAAACTAGAGTTAAAGTAAATTTGAGAAATTACATATATACAGTTACTAAGTAGATGTTTGATCAAACTGAACCAAAACCATATTGAAGTTAACCTTTTGATTTTATCTCAACAAGTTTTTTCCCAAAACTGAACCACCATAGGATCTAAACCAAGTACGCAACTTTAGAAACAACAATTCATTGAGTTAGTGATTAGAGCACAATATGTAACAATTGTTAGCATATATATTGGTATAGTGAGTGATTAAACCACAGTATGCAATAAAAAGTATAAGCACCAGAGCATCTTTGTGTAGATTCGAAGCCGTGACAAGGGCCACAAAACAAGAGTGGTCTGAGGTAGAAGCATCAGCTTCTGTTTCTGTATTGCTCCTCCTCTTCATTTTCTTCTTTCTCACATGTTCTGCATCAGTAAAAAACCAAAATTGTTAATCCCTCACAAAACCCAAGTAATCTTGGACACTACATCATAATAGAACAGAACTGAAGTTACCATGATCATCACCACCATTTTCTTCTGTTCTTGGGTGGTGCTGATGCTTCTTCCTCGAAATATAACCTGCTTTAAAAAGGACTAAGACAGGTATTTGTATAGACTAATATACACGAGCAAGAAAAAACACTATCCTCTTTCTTGCAAGTTCTGTATCAATAAAAAAAAATCAAACTTTTTCTGATACTTTTAATTGAAAGTGTTCTTAAACAACCTCAGAAAACCAAGAAATCTTGGAAAATACAACAAAAGACAAATTCACTCATTCCCGAAACCCTAATCAGAGAAACCCCTTAAATTGCCTTCCAATCACAGTTTCAACTAACATAAAAACTTCATTTTTGCAGTTTGGTCATCGACAAAAACAGAACCAAACTCACCGGTCTTGTCCTGATCATTGTTGCTGCCTCGAGCTGGTAAGTCTCGAATCTCACAGCGGCTAGGTCCTAAATCTGACGAATTTAAAACCATCTCTCAAACCCACTTTCCACAGTGCGTCATCTTCGAGAACAAATCGGCAACCCAAGAAAACAGAAACCCTAGAAATTGCTGTCTTAGGTGAAAAAGACTTTTCCTTTTTTTGAGGGCAGAGAGAAAAAAACACAACTTTTTGTTCTTCTTCTCAGAAATTGAGTTTTAGTGTTAGCAATTTTAAGAAAATTCGAAAACTCGGCGCGTATCCTTAGTAATGAACAGTTCAATTTGATTGATGATTGGGGAATTTGATCGAGCAAATAAATATTTTTATACACGGATGTGAAGTTGAACCGGATAGAGAATTTGGGTTTTCGGTTTATTTGGTTTGGCCCGGTTAAGTTCCTTAAGACAGATCATTCAACTTAGACCGGGGAGAAGCAAAACTTCTGACTGATTTGCCTCCATTGAAACAAACCTGAGCTTATAGAATAACAAAATCACAAGTTCATAATCATATAGCCATTATAACATACATACTTTTTTTAACTTAACAAACAAAAAGGGTTTTAATGAAAACTTTTTTGGTCTTTACTCTACGGAGTTGGAACAGAATTTAAGCACGGGAGTTGTGTCTTGCTCATCAATGTATTCCAAAGTGAATGACTCCCCTGTCTTAACGCCATTAGCCTCACAGAAGCCCTTCCAACCAGATCCTAGAGCCAAAGTTCCATCTTCTGACAGTAGATATGCAAACCACTTCATTTTGTTTTGACCCAACAAAGTTATCTTCCCGAGCTTGTTGATGCCATTAGCTTTCATGAATTGACTTGGAAGAATCTGTAAAATGTTTGAGTAAACATATATGTAGTTACTAATTAGAATCACGAAAGAAACTAACTTACCTTTGAAACAAGAGTCGTTTGATGAACTTACAAGTTTACAGGCTCTGACATCTTCGGGTGTGAGTGTGAATGTCACAAATCGATTTTGGATTGCTGAAGACGAGTCTCTTCTCTCCTCTCTGTTGCTCGTGGCTTTGCTGCTCTTGATTCCTTTGCTAGGTACTGCAGAATTCGACTCTTTCTTGCTATCTTTTGCGCACTCTCCTTGCTGGCTTCTATATCTTGTGGACTGTGTACTCACCAAACTGAGCATAGGAATTCCATACTCCAAAATTGCCTCCAGCGTGAACAATTCGCCGCTCCTCAAGCCGTTAGACATAGCAAACTCTTTCCAGCCCTTTCCGAGACACATTATTCCTGTGTTTTCCCGTAGAAGACATGCCTCCAACTTTGTACCATCATTGCCAACCAGAGTTATTATCCCAGGTTCGTCCAAGCCATTTTCTTTTGTGAACGACAATGGAAGATACTGGAACATAAATGAACGGACAACATACTTAATATGAGTGCAAGAGATAAACTGACATACCCTCTGAAACAAGGGTGGATTGATGAACTCACCCGTCTACTTTTTCTGAGGTTGTCATATGTAAGTCTTAATGTCACGAATGGGTTCCGGCTTGCTGGAAAACAGTCTCTCCTTACGTCTCTGTTGATTATGGCTTTCCTGGTCTCTTTTCCACTGCTATGTTCGGCAGAAATCGACTCTTTCTCGCTATGTTTTGAGCACTCTCCTTGCTGGCTTCTATCACTTCTGGACTGTGTACAGAACAAACTGAGCATAGGAGTTCCGTTCTCCAAAATTGCCTCCAACGTGAACAATTCACCACACTTCAAGCCGTTGGACATCGCAAACTCTTTCCAGCCCTTTCCGAGACACATTATTCCTGTGTTTTCCCGTAGAAGATTTGCCTCCAACTTTGTACCATCATTGCCAACCAGAGTTATTATCCCAGGTTCGTCCAAGCCATTTTCTCTTGTGAACGACAATGGAAGATACTGGAACATAAATGAACGGATAACATACTTAATATGAGTCCAAGAGATGAAACTAACATACCCTCTGAATCAAGGGTTGATTGATGAACTCACCCGTCTACCTCTTCTGAGGTTGTCATGTGTAAGTGATAGTGTCACAAACCGGTTCTGGCTTGCTGGAAATGAGTCTCTCCTCACATCTCTGTTGTTCATTGATTTCCTGGTCTCTTTTCCACTGCTATGTTCTGCAGAGATTGTCGCTTTCTCGCTATGTTTTGAGCACTCTCCTTGCTTGCTTCTATCACTTGTGGACTGTGTACTGACCAAACTGAGCATAGGAGTTCCGTTCTCCAAAATTGCTTCCAACATGAACGATTCGCCGCTTTTTAAGCCGTTTGCTATAGCGAAATCTTTCCAGCCTTTTCTGATACAAATCATTCCTCTTTTTTCCCGTAGAAGATTTGCCTCCCACTTTGTACCATCTTTGCCAATCAAAGTTATCATCCCAGGTTTGTCCAAGCCATTTTCTCTTGTGAATGATGATGGAAGACACTGAAACATAAATGAACGGATAACATACTTAATATGAGGGTAAAAGATAAAACTAACAAACGCTCAAAAACAAGGGTTGATTGATGAACTCACCCGTCTACAATCTCTTAGGTTGCCATGAGTAAGTGTTAATGTCACAAACCGGTTTTGGCTTGGTGAAGTTGAATCTCTACATCTCATACGCTTCTTCTTGCTCTTCAGCTCCATACAATTGTCTTTGTTGTTCTTGTCTCCGTGTATTCCCTCGTTGATAGCTTCAGCGGAACAGAAACTGAGCACCGGAGTTTCCCAGTTTCCAACTAATTCAAAAACAAAAACGCTTCCTGCTTTTTTACCGATTTCATCACAGAAACTTGTCCAACCTTGGCTTATGTAGAGAGTATTAAATGATTTGTTGAAACGCAGATCCAATGCCCATGATCTTTCCCTTTCATCTGTTACAACAATCTCACGACAGTTTCTTTTAAGACCAATTACTCTTGTTAAATCTTGTGGAAGATACTGCAACAAAAGGGTTCAGGCATTTTCAGCACAAAACTTTGTTTAGCAAATGTGAGAGAACACTTTCTTCAGTCTCGTGATATATACACAGCAGGCAAATAGGCCAAATCAAACCATCCCAAATGAAATCAAACTAGACTAAACAGATTCATAGTAACTTTGAGAAACCACATTGAAGTTAACATTAGAACCAAAGTTCCCAACTTTAGTAACATAAGTTCATTGATTAAAGCACAATATGCAAAAAAAAACAACTTAAGTATAAGCACCAGAGCATCGTTGTGTAGATTCGAAGCTGTGACAAGGGCAACAAAACAAGAGTGGTCTGCTGAGGAAGCATCAGCTTCTGTTTGTGTATTGCTCCTCTTCATTTTCTTCTTTCTCACATGTTCTGCATCAGTAAAAATCCAAACTTTTTAAACCCTCTAATACTTTTATTTCCAAACTGTTCTTGAAACAGCCTCACAAAACCAAGTAATCATGGACATTAACTCACCGGTGTTGTCCTCATCATCACCTTCTTCAGTACTTAGACGCTGATGCTTCTTCCTCGAAATATTACCTGCGATTAAACATGTAGGACTAAGATTAGACACACACAAGACTAAATCTTTCATCAACGGTGCTAAATTTCACTCATTTCCATAACCGGAATCATACAAATCCCTTAAATTGCTTTCCTTATCTCACATAAAAACTACATTTTTGCAGATTAGATAGTCTAAACAAAACAAAATCAAAACTCACCGGTCTTGTCCTGATCATTGTTGCTGCTTGGAGCTGGTAAGTCTCGATTCTCACAGCAATTTGGTCCTAACTCTGACAAATTTAAGACCATCTCTCTAACCCACTTTCCACAGTGCGTTATCTTCTCCCACACTTCTTTCTTCTAGAAGCTTCGAGAAGAATCGGAAACCCTAGAAATTGCTGTCTGAGGTGAAAAAGACTCTTCCTTTATTTTGAGGGAAGAGAAAAAAACACAACTTTTGTTCTTCTTCTCCGGGATTACAAGTTTTGGAAAATTCGAAAACTCGGGCGCGTTTGTCTTTTGCCAATTGTTTATTGATCGGATGAGAAGTTGAACCCGTTAAAGCTTTTGGGTTGTCGGTTTATTCGGTTTGGCCTGGGTTTAGTCCTTCTTTTTTTTTCTTTTTTTTTTAAAACATTTAATTTAAATCATCCCAAATAGACTTTTTTAAATAGATAATATAGGATCATTCAAATGGATTAAAACTTTTTAGCAGTACGAAATACTGAAAAAATGTAAAAGAGTATGGTCATGAACGAGAAAAAATATAAAAATGTAATCCAGCTGAAAGAGCACCTGTACTTTCAATCTTTGGATCATGAACGAGAAATGCTCATATGCTATACATTTATTAAGTTTTCTAAATAAAAAATGTTGTTTGATTCTTCTTTTGTAAAATATAATATTAAAACTTCATCGTTTATGAAATTTATAGACAAAATAGAAATACAAATGTTTGACCATTATGTTTAATAATTGATATAGTTTTCTTTTGTACTTGAAAACAAAATCATCAACTAGGATCGGACCCGCGGTCCACCGCGGGAGAATATTGGTTTACATACGTTGATTTTAATATTGTGCGTGTTTTTAGTCCAATCGTGTAATGTACTTATAAATATTCATAATAACAAATTGTAGAGAAAATGTTAAATTGTTTATAATTAAACCCATCATATTAATTATGATTTACAAAATGAAATTTTGTGTTTTAGAATTCAAAAATTAGACGATTCATGAGAATTAGAGCAGTCAAAATAGATCAAAAACCACGGGTCGAGCCCAAATCATCTCACTATAGGGAAGATTTGGGAAAATTATTAAACCCGCAAATAAGCGGGCCACATAGATTGATTCACAGTGGGTCATAGGTTTTAATCGGTTTTCGTCCGCAGGTTGGCGGATCAGCCCGCATGTTAGTATTTATTGATAAAAATATAATTTATTCAACATGTGGTAATTTAAAAAACTTTTAGTAAATGAAATTATAATATTTATAAATATAATGATATATAAAGTTGTTTCTCTATTTTTTTTTAATTTATTTATTTTAGTAGTATTTTAAATTTTGGTTACTTTAAAATTATTTAAACAAAATCCAAGGACAACCCCGCAAATCAGCATACATTCGCGGGACGGGTTTGTGTTTCATATATGCTACCCGCGGGTCGTGCGGACCGACTAACTACATGTCAAAATATATTTTGCCTATCGCAAAACGGTCAACTCGCTTTGCCAGCTCTAATAGGAATATTATTTAGTCATACAACAAAATGGAGTTTGGACATAGGAATAATAGAATCTGCATCTTATTTGTTAGATAAGAGATTGAAAGGTGAAATATAATGATTAAAAATTAATTAATATTTTCATGATTCACAAAATTTAATAAATATTTATCATCTTGTTGAATAAAATCTAAAAATCATATTCAAGAAATCTTTATAATTTGAAAATTAAACTTCTTTGGTAAGCTATAAGTATGAAAATACCATAATTTCGATTTAATCTAATTAAATTAAAATTAGTTATATGGATTTCATATCTATTTAATTTACATGTCCAAAATAAAAATATTTAATTTATAAAATAGATGGGTTAGTTGTGATAAATTTTATAGAAATCTTTAGAAGCAAGTAAGATATCTTTCAATTAATGATAATTGGATAAAATAAGCAAAATTAATGACAAAAACGTGGATTGTTATGGAATTAGTTCCTAATATATATGAATAAATAAATTAGACGTAATTAATGTATAGTATTGTTCGGAATATGCTTTCATAATTACTTACCATAAGTAAAATCAGATTTTATTTGATTTCCATAAACATTTGATTTTAGTTTGATTTTTCATTATTAATTCGAATTTATATTCCAAAAAATTTCAAAGATCCGATTTCAGAATTTCGGGTCAATTTTCTGATTTTGACCCGACCCATTTTCATTTGTACTTCTCTTTTAATAGTATAGAGATGTCATTTGGCCAATTATTTTGGTTAATTCATAATAGTAAATTTTCAACATTCCGCTATTTTTTTTTGTTATTGTTTACAACAAAAATTATGATTATATATACTCTACATAGATACCCAAGTATAATTTCAGGCAGTAGTCTGTCGTCCGGTTAGCGCCGAGCATAATTTAAAGCATTAGTTATGATTGAAGAGATTATAGTTAGCTGAGGAAATTCTAGTAAATATGCATTTAGAAAGTTTACTTATATAAAAGTTTAAATTAGGGTTAGTTTTCATACCAATTACCTCTATCTAGTACATATCATTTTAGTCAAATTTTAAATGATAAAAATTTTAATCGCTTTCTAGTATTTGATTCAACATGAGTAAGTTTCTAATGTATTGGGCTTTATTATTTTATTTTGAATAGAATTTAAAATTTATTCAAAAAAACATTTACAATGAATGCATCAAGTTTATAAGTTTGCTATGACTTTTTTTTTGAATTTGAAAAGAAATAATAGAAAGATTGCTATCTAGTTGCAAACCATGTCTCCATCCCTTTGCCGAATCGAGTGTCCCCCATGGCTCGAATCGTCGACCATATCTCGTGTAGTATCAACGAGAACACCAAGAATGCAATCCCATTGAGCCGTATACCTTGAATCTAGGAGCTTCTGCCAAGTATCAGCCGAGTATGGACATTCAAAAAAGAGATGGTTCCGTGTTTCCACTGGTTACGGACAAAAGGAACAAGCCACAGAAGCACCAGTGTTCAAACAACAACTTCGGTCTCCCGTCGATAATCTATTCTGAATTGTGAGCCATGCCATGAATGAATATTTTGGTCTTGCGTGGGTGAACCATATTCCCTTATACCATTCCTTTATTGGTTGCACCTCTTGAGTTAATTTCCATGTAGCTTGACACACTTTCCACTGTGGAATGGATGTGTACCACAACTCTCGGCTGCCCTGTGATCCTGTGATGTCACGTAGTCTACCCAGCAGTGACCATCTATCAAATGAGAATGATGTGGATGCTCCACTATAGACTTCTACTTTATTCAGTGAAGCCGCTAGCTCTCTGTATTTCATTAATTTTTTCAATATCCATGAGCCAAGAGATGAAGTTTCTTTAATCGACCACAGAGATCCTTAGCGTAATATATACATCTGAACCGAGTTTACCCATAATGAAGAGTGGGCAGATAAAATTTGCCAAAATAATTTCACACAACTCACCTTACTCGCCTCAGATATTGATCTTAACCCCAAACATCCCTCTTCCTTTCGTTTGCAAACATCTTTCTTTTATGAGCTTTACGATATGTGAAAATCGTAAATTCTTCCACTTCTCTCGCGGTTAATATCAGATACATATCGATAATGCATTACCATGTATCCATCGTCCAAAGGTGATCCACAATGTTGCGGCTTCCTACTGATAAACCCAAAACAGTGACTCCAGCTCGATCCAAATGGGAATTAAGGACCCTCATAGTCACCACCAATTAGAATCAAGACATAAACCAACCCATCTTTGAAACAAGAGTTGTCTAATGACTGAGCTTTACCAGATGATAATCTCTAGCATCATCAAGTGTAGTCTCTTGTTCTTGTTTTCACTGCTAGGCTTTGTGGAAAAAAAGACTGTTTCTCTGTATCTTTTAAACACTCTCCTTCCCTACCTGATATCATTAGTGGACTTCAACGTAAAGAATTCGTCAGTCGTTAAGCCATTTGCTTTCACTGTTTTAGCAAACTCTTTGAAGCCCATCATTCCAATGATATATGCAGAATCTGTCATGTGATATCCTGAGAAAACATTTGAGAAACCTTGAAAAAGTACTAATTAACATTTATCTATTTGGTCTCCGTAGCTGGAGTAGAACTTAAATACATGATTTGTATCTTCTTTGGAAATGAATTCCAAAATAAAAGTCTCTCCTAACATCACGCCATTCGCCTCGCAAAAACCTTTCCAACCATTTCCCAAAACGACAGTTCCATCTCTTGACAATAGATATGCAAACCACTTCAAACCGCCTCTACCCAACAAAGTTATCTTTCCAGGCTTGTTGATGCCATTAATTCTCATGAATTGACTTGGAAGATGCTGCGATATATTTGAGCAAACACATCTCATTACCAAATGAAATTCAATACAGAACCTCTAAAGAAGAGTTATTTGATAAGCTTACCAAATTACCATCCTTGACATCTTTAGGTGCAAGTGTTAATGTAAGGAATCGGTTTTCGATCTCTGAAGATGAATCTCTGTTTTTCTCTGCTTCCCTTGTCTTGTGTCCACTGCTAGCATCTATGAAAGGAGACTCTTTTGAAAACTCACTTTGCCCTCTAACACTGCTAGACTCTATATGGAGCAATTTGAGCACAGGAGATGCGTCTTCCCAGATTGACTCCAAGGTGATGGAATCGCCCGTCTTTAAGCCGTGTTTTTTAGCAAAATCTTTCCAGCCCTTTCCCAAACTCATTCTTCCTCTTCTTTCCAGTAGAAGACTTACCAGCCACTTCGTACCATCTTTACCTAACACAGTTATCTCTCCGGGCTTATTCATGCTATTCTCCGTCATGAATTGCAGTGGAAGACGCTAGAAAATATATGAACAGAGAATACGATATGAAACCCTTTCGATATGCGATAAAAAGAACAATAGTTGATAGATTAACTTACCAGTCTACCATGTTTGAGACTGTCAGGTGTGATTGTTAATGTCAGAAATCGGTTGTGGCTCGATGAAATCGAATCTATACATATCCGATGATTTTTCTCTCTTTCAAATGAGCTGTTCTCCTCTTTGTTGTTTTCCTCTTTATTGTTGTCATCTTCACTGATATTTCTTTTAATGCTAGGCTCTATGGGAAGAGACTCTTTCACTGCTAGGCTCTATGGGATGATAATGTAGCCAACGTGAAAGAACACTTTGGTTAGGTTCATGAATCAATATGAAAGAGTAATAAACTAAATCGAGCGAAACAAAAACCTAAATTATTATCAAAATCGAAATGCCTACCCTAAGAAACAATAGTCAATTAGCTAATGAATATGCAAAAACTTTAGCATGAGATATCAGTTAATGCAGGAGTAAAATAATCTGAATTTTAAAAACACACCAATGCATTTGCGTGTAGACTCGAAGTTGTGACATGGGCTACAAAACAAGAGTGGTCTGATAAATAATCTGCTTCTGTTTCTGGATTGTTCTTCTTCACTTTCTTCTTACTCGGATGCTCTGTATCAAAAACACCCCACATGTTAAAACCTCAGATGCTTTTATATTAAAAGGGTATTTCTTTTCAGTTTGTAGCTGTTCGTGAAACAATTTCACCAAAGTAAGAAATCATCCATATAAAGTTGGTACTAGAATAGAAGAAAACTGAATATACCAAAGTTGTCATGAGCATAACCATCATATGATGAAAAGCCTGCTTCTTTTCTTAAGTGCGGATGCATTTCCATCGAAATGGTACCTGTATCAGAAAATAATCATCAGATTGCATTTAACAATCTTGTCTACGTTACAGCTTTAAACCATATTTTAAGTATTGATATCAAAGTGTAATTGAAACATATCTCCAGATGAACTCCAGTTCGTCGGATAAATATTATCAAACTTACCGATGTTGTCATGATCATTGTTGCTACTTGGAGCTGGTACATCTCGAATCCCACAACAATTGGATCCCAAATCTGAGACCTGTAACATATTATCTCCTTCATGTCTGAAAATGGTGACATCGCCGATTCGAAGATCATGAGCGACCTGGCTAATTATATCACATGGAGGTGTTAACGCCATGAATTGGTTTTCGATTGCTGAAGATGATTCTCTACTTCTAGGAGGATACTTTCTGCTTGCTTCTCTGTTTTTTTCTGCTTTCTCAGTCATGTTTCCACTACTAGGTTCTAAGGAAAGAGATTCTTTAGAAACCTGACCACTGCTAGACTCTATACTAAGCAACTTGAGCACAGGAGTTGTGTTTTCCCATATTGACTCCAATGTGATGGAATCACCCGTCTTTACGCCATTTGCTTTAGCAAAATCTTTCCAGCCCTTCCCCAAACTCATTCTTCCTCTTCTTTCTAGTAGAAGACTTGCCATCCACTTTGCACCATCTTTACCTAAAAGAGTTATCTCTCCGGGCTTGTCCATGCTATTCTCCGTCATGAATTGCAACGGAAGCCGCTATAACATATATGAACAACAGAATTGTTTTTAAAAAACACTTTTTGAATGGGACGAAATTGAACAAGAGTTGATTGTTGAACTCACTAGTCTACCATGTTCGAGACTATCAGGTGTGATTGTTAATGTCAGGATCCGGTTCTCGCTTGGTGAAGTCAAATCTATGCATCTCAGATGATTATCCTCTCTCTTCCATAAGCTGCTTTCATCTTTGTTGGATTCATATTTGTTGTTGTCATCTTTAACGATCTTTTCTTGGCTACTAGGCTCTGCGGGAAGAGACTCTTTCGAACACTCTTCTCCTACTCTTGTGTCAGTGTTGTACTCTTCAGGGTACAAACTAAGCACAGGAATTGTGTCTTCCCAATATAACTTGAATGTATAGGTATCACCCGTCTTTAAACCGTTTGCTTTAACAAAACTTTTCCAGCCATCTCCCAAAGTCATTCTTCCTCTGTTGTTTTCCGAAAGAAGATTTGCAAGCCACTTAGAACCATCTTTACCCAACAAATATATCTTCCCAGGCTTGTTAATCCCATTCTCCCTCGTGAATTGCATCGGAAGACGCTGTAGAAAAATCGAACAAGAGTCACAACCGAAAAAAAGTAGAATAAAGGAAACTAACAGGTACAAGTTCTATGATGATCTCACAAGTCTACAATGTCTGCCATCAACAGGTGCAAGTGTAAATGTTACGAACGGTTTCTCGCTTGACGAATATGATGATATAATCTGTCTCGCACTCTTTCTACATTTTCTGTTAAGACCATTTGAGCTAGTGAAATCTTGTGGAAGATACTGCAAATTAACACCAGATTATTACAAGAGTCAGATTAAATCAGTCAAGACCAATCAACAAAAGTGTCATAACTAACTAAACTGAATAATACAAAACGCACCAGTGCATCTGTTTGGGTAACAAAACAAGAGAAATCTGATGAAGAATCAGTTTCTGTCTCATGATTGTTCTTCTTCATTTTCTTCTTTCTTTGAAACTCTGTGTATCAGAAAACACCCAAAATGTTAAACCTTAGATGCTTTAATTTCAATATGTAACTGTTCTTGAAACAATGTTAATATGTAATCTTGAAACAATGTTTATATATATACCAATTTTGAAAATCCCTAAAATTGCTTTAAATTTGCTGTTGTTCCTTACTTTTGAGACTAAAATCGAATTACCAAATTGGTGTCAAAGTTTAATTAAAACATGGATTAAGTTCGTAGAATAAAGAAAATTGAAACTTACCGATGTTGTTGTCATGATGATCTGAGACCTGGATCATCATATCTCCTTCTGCATTGATCGGTGAGCCCAGAATGAGTGAATTCGCCTAAAACAAAAATTGTTTGGGTTAATTTAGAGACGGTCGCAATTTTTTTTTTAATTTATTATTATTACTAGGTTACGAACCCCCGCGATATCGCGGGGGAACTCATTTTGAACAAATATATTTTATTATGTTTATGTATTAAATTATTATGATGATATATTCAAATATTTGAATTTAACATAATATTAACTATGATTTAAAGTTATATCGTAAATATTTTTCAAAAATGTTAAAAAAAATTATAAATAAAAATGTAAAAAAGACAAATTATGATTATAAACACTTTTGAAACATTTTTAATAAATATAAAATTATTTATAAGTGACAAAATACATAACAAAGAGTTATAATATAGAGAAGAAAAATTCTAGCGGGTCAAACCAAAAAGACATAAAAACCACAACAAAAAAAATAACCGTCAATATTTTAACGAAGAGTTGCGATAAAAATACATAACCGAGAAAAAATAACCGTCAATATTTCAATGGAAAGTTGCGATAAAAAAAGACAATCGAGAAAAAATAACCGTCAATATTTTAACGGAAAGTTGCGATAAAAAGACATAACCAAAAAAAATTAACTATCAATATTTTAACGGAAAATTACAATAAAAAGACACATCCAACAAAATAACCGTCAACGAAAATGTAACCGTAAATATTTTAACGAAAAGTTGCGATAAAAAGACACAACCGAGAAAAAATAACCGTAAATATTTTAACGGAAAGTTGCGATAAAAATACACAAACAAAAAAAGTAACCATCAATATTTTAACGGAAAATTACGATAAAAGACACAACCAAAATAATAACCGTCAACGAAAAACTAACCGTCAATATTTTAACGAAGAGTTGCGATAAAAAGACACAACCGAGAAAAAAAGAACTGTCAATATTTTAACAGAAACTTGCGATAAAAAGACACAAACGAATAAAGTAACCATCAATATTTTAACGGAAAATTACGATAAAAAGATACAACCAAAAAAATAATTGTCAACAAAAAAAAATAAACGTCAATATTTTAACGAAGAGTTGCGTTAAAAAGATACAACCGAGAAAAAATAAGTGTCAATATTTTAACGGAAAATTGCAATAAAAAGACACAACCGAGAAAAACTTACCGTCAATATTTTAAGAGAAAGTTGCAAAAAAAACACAACCGAAAAAACATTACCGTCAATTTTTTAACGGAAAGTTGTGATAAAAAGACAGAAACGAAACCGTCAATATTTTAACGGAAAGGTTCGAGAAAAAGACACAACCGAAAAAATAACCGTCAATATTTAACGAAGAGTTGCGATAAAAAGATACAACATGAAAAAATAACTGTCAATATTTTAACGGAAAATTGCGATATAAAGACTCAAGCGAGAAAAAATAACCGTAAATATTTAAACGAAAGGTTGCGATTAAAAGACGCAACCGTTCAGATGTGCAAATGGTATTTATTAGATTGCTATTATATATAGATTTTTTTTGTAATTTTTGACAAACAAAAATAAATTAGAGAAATTCGCAAATATACCCAACAAAAAAACAATAATTAAGAAAATAACCCAAACAAAAAAAAAACTCAAATGAGTTAAAGACAAAATTACCCTAAAGATTTTAAGAGCTTTAACTTTTACCCTAAATGAATTATAGTTATAGAGTTAAAGTCAATTCTTTTAAGTTTTAGATTTGTTTTCTGATATTGTTTTTAAGAATTGATATTGATGTGGTCCATGATAATGCTTCTCTTCCAGAAACCTTTGTGTCTCTATTTTGTTCAGTTCTCTGGTTGTGATTTGAAAGCTCATGTCATTGTTATCAAATGAGCACATTTTAAAGAAAACAAAGAATTACATAGACGCATTTTAAATGCTTTAATTTCAATATGTAACAATAGATATGTAAGAAACTAAGAATAATATTATTAATGAAAATTTAATTTGAAACAAATATGGCCATTCCAATAACATATAAACTCCATTAAAAGATACATGATGAATCATATTTATTACTTGGCTTCTTAAACTTAATAAACAAAATGACTTCTTTAGAGTAAGAGTTCTAACATTTTACATGCTTTTAGTTAAAAATCTTTTTTTTGTCTCCGGAGTTAGGACATATCCTAAACACCGGAGTTGTGTCTACTTCTTCAGATATCAATTCTAGAGTAAACAAATTTCCGGTCTTGATGCCATTAGCCTTACAAAAGTTTGCCCAACCAATACCTACAGCTATAGTTCCATCTCTTGACGATGGATATCCCCACCACTTCATATTAGCTTTACCCAAAATAGTTATTGTCATATTCTTGTCGATGCCATAAGCTCTCATGAATTCACTTGGAAGAATCTACAAAATATTTGAACAACACCACTAGTTATTGATTATAATTCAAGATAGAAACTAACCTTGTTTGATGAACTTACTAGATTACAGTCTTTGACATCTTTAGGTTTGAGTGTCAATGTCAAGACTCGGTTTTGGGTTTCTAAAGATGAATACTCTTTGTCCTCAATGTTGTTCTTTTCTTTCTTGTCTCTGTTGCCACTTGGCTCAATGCAAATAGGCTCTTCCTCGCACGCTTGCGAACAATACTCTCCTTGCCTTTTATCACATTCAGAATCTGTACCAGTACTGGAAAACCTAAACATAGGATTTGAATCTCTCCAAATCAACTCCAGTGTGATGGATTCACCAATTTGAAAGCCATTTACTAAAGCAAAGTCTCTCCATCCTCTTCCCAAACTCATTCTTCCATTTACATCTTTTAGAAGACTTACCATCAGCTTTTTACCATCTTTTGCCAACATACCTATCTCCCCTGGTTTGTTCAAGCCATTTTCCCTCATGAAGGGCAATGGAAGACCCTAGAAAATTATTTAAATGGAGATTATATTTATAACAAATAAATAAGAGTGACATTATATTGATAAAACTAACTAACAATCTAAAACAAAAGCTGATTAACGAACTCACCACTCTACTTTTTTTGAGGCCATCATTTGTAAGTTTTAGAGTAATGAAGCTTTTCTTGTCACCAAGCTGTACAAAACTTTTATTAGTTTCTTGACTAACACATTTAACAATAATCTATCAACCATGATTGTGTTGTGAAAATGTTGTTTCCAGAAGACACTCATTAATATACATACACATATATTAATATATAAAAAATATGTAACATACGACCGAACGTTGCCAATTATCACTAACAAAAAGAACACTATCTTTAAGACATTAAGAAAAAAGAAAAAAAAAAAAACATTTTCTTTAGTTTCATGATTTCATATGAATGGAATCGAACTTATCAAAAGTAAACCATATGATAGGAAACAAATGAAATACAAGAGATGTGACTGTCCTTAATTTGGATACCCATGACTAACATATATAGAAAACTATCATCCATCCTTTAATACTCATAATATATGAATTTAATCCACCAACCACAAATCTCTTAATTTCCTTGATTGCAATTTAGAAGAATCCAAACAGAATTTGGTATGACTTCAGTAAAAATTAACACCAATATAAACCAAAATTGAAGGTAAAACAAATTGAAAAAGTACTTAATAAAGATTTACCTAAGATAGTGTGTAAAACAAAACAAACCATATTGAAGTTATTATGGTAAAGTTACAAGTTTTCTCATAAACCAAACTGGACTAACAAGAGACAAAAATCTAGAAACAGCAGTTCATATGTGACTTTTAAGTAAACTCACCACAGCATCTTGGTTCAGATTTGATTTGTTCGATGAAGACGAACTAGCTTCGGATTGTGAATTGTTCTTTCGAATTCTTTTCCCTCTCCCAAGTACTGTGTGCAAACAAAAATCCCACATGTTAAAAACCAGCTTCAGATACTTTTAATCTTAAACTCATCAAACTAAGATAGAACGGAAGTGATCATGATCATACCGGTCTTGTCTTGATCATCGCCTTCTTCTGTCCTTAAACGCTGATGCTGCTTCCTCGAGATGTTACCTGTGTAGAACATGTAAACACTCTCCCGTCATATAGATCCATGCACACGGATAATAACAAAATCTTTCGATGATCACAAAATCTTTCTTTAAAGGATTATTCTCTCAACTCAGATCTGACTATAGGTCGTAGATTAAAAACCAAAATTGGAACCAAACTAAAAACCAAAATTGGAACCAAACTCACCGATTTTGTTGTTGCTAGGCGTAGGTAATTCTCCAAGGCCGCACGCACTGACATTAAACATCATCTTTGTCGGAGAGAAGAGGGATGGAAATGAATTTTTTTTTATGTCCGAATGATTTTAAACCCAACAAAATAACCCTAATGCTAAGATATAAGAGCAATCATCTTTTACTTTTTAGAAAGCATGCACTTTAAGGAAATTTTAACGCACCCTTTACAATTAAGAGGTAAATTTAATGGAAGCTTTTGTTAAAATATTTGACCAAACCTGCTTTTTTATTTTTTTTCTTAAAAAAAAAAATTTGAATTGATGGGGCTTTTTTTTTTTTTTTTTTGTCAACGATTGATGGGGCTTCTAAAAATTCAGTTTCCTCTACTAGATAATCTCCCGCGTAATTTGAAAAAGGAAATATATATATATATATATATATGTATGATTTGCTAACGGTAATTTTTTTGTGTTTCAAACAAATTGATGGATTTTTTTGTTAAATGGATAAGTTCCCGCCCAAAATTAATATATTTTTAAATCGGTTGAAAGCTGAATCGCATAAGTTATTGGGTTTGTAGTTCATTTTCTTGTTTGGTTTAATTTCTAAGATTTGTTTTAGAAAAGTTGATTTTTCTTGATTAGATGAAAATCCACGACGTATCAATTTGTCACCTCTCAAGACACGTGTCATTTTTTCAAACACAAAATTTACCCTAATACATATCCATATTAGCTAAACATGTAATATTAGCTAAACATGGACCTAATTTACTATCCATATCTACTGGAAACTATCATTGATAAGACAATCATTAATATTAGCTAAACATGAACCTAATTTAGCTTAAAAATCAAAATTTTTATTTAGTTAAATAAAGTAAATTAGTAAAATACTCACAGTAAATGAAACCAATTTTTCACATTAACTAAATCACCAAAGGGAGATTGACATAAATAGCCCCAAAAAAGTTATTTTTCCAAAAATAGCACCTCATTTGAAAAGTTCCACAAATAGCACCATAAACTTCAATTAAACTTAATGAAAATATAAGATAGAAAATAAAAAAGAGAGCAAACACTAATCTAATATTAAATTGAATCAAAAAAATTTTAAATAGTGGAAATATATACCCTAATTTGGAAATAGGGAACCCAAATATAATACCACAAACTAATATTAAAATAAAAATCTCTTTTAAATGGTGAAAATATATACCCTAAATTGGAAATAGTGAACCCAAATATAATACCATAAACTAATATTAAAATGAATCAAAATCTCTTTTAAATGGTAGAAATATATACCCTAAATTGGAAATAGAGAACCCAAATATAATATTTTAAATTTATTTCTAATTTATTTTGTTGAATAGCTTTTATATAAAAGTTGTGGTATTATTAAAAAAAAAAGCTAGTGATAAAATTTTTAGAACAAAAACACTAATAGTAAGTTAACTAGTGCTATTTTTGGAAGTTTATGGAGTGTGTGCTATTATTGTCAATAAAACTTGTTTTAGGGCCATTTTTAGGAATTTCTCTTAACCAAATGATAAAATATTATTAAAAGATAGTCAACTTTTTTACTAAAATATTTATTACATATCATTAATCATATCAATTTATTAAATAACTTGTTGTGACTGATTTGCTTGTTATTTTTATAATGCATGTAGTTTTAAGAACAAATACCACAATATTTTGTAAATGACGGTACATAACCTGGAGTCACTGAAGGTTCTTTTGTGGTTTAATCCATCAAACCTTAGGAATACGGGTTCGCATAAAAGTCTCTGCTTTGGTTGGATCCAACTCATGAAGCTCATGTCATTGTTATCAAGTGAGCACATTTTAAAGAAAACAAAGAATTACACAGACGAATTTTCAGCATTTCTCTCACACAATGTTGGACAAAACATCGGAAAATTAAAAAAGAATTGTCTAATATAAATTAAATCCAACTCTAATAAATACGAGACCTTCTGGAAAAGAGCCCAACAAAAAAATCCGTACGGGTTTGGCTACTTGGCCCAAAACGGACAATATCATACTAATAAGGGAGTTGGCTTGGGTTTGGAAAGCCCAACAATTGATATCAGAGTCTAGGTCAAAAAAGGTGGATCAAGAAGATGGGCTTGGGCTACATGCTCTGTGTGGAGGAGTTCTCAATATGACACGATTAAAAGGGAATCTCAAGGAGACCTCGCGAATAAGGGGTGTTGGTGCCTGGGTGCCAAAGTTTCGCTAGAGGGGAGGCGAAAGTTTCGTGGTCCTAGGTTTGAGAGGAGGATTGTTGGGAGACAAACCAACGTCCCATATAGGAAGGTTAGAAAAGAATTGTCTAATGTAAGTAAAGTCCAACTTCAATTAGTATGAGATCTTTTGGAAAAGAAACCAAAAATAAATCTATGCAAGCTTGGGCTGCTTGGCTACTTAACCCAAAACATACAATATCATACTAATAGAGGAGTTGCTTTGTGCTATGCAATTTCCTTTCAATTTCTGTTCCTCTGAAAGAAAATTGTTGTTTGTTGTTGTGTTCGTTTTTTTATTTTTCGTCCCCTCAATACAACTATGCTCGCTCGTTCACTCCCTCTGAGTATTGGGCCTATGCCTGGGCATTGTCCTCTTTTGGGCCCTTTGTACAAGTATGTCCGTAAGAACACAAAAGAAAAAGCTTCTTGTCCTGTTTGGTCAAGTAAAACTTGTTTGTATGTCAGAAACTTGTTAAATAGGAAACTTTTCTTTTGTGTTCTCTTAGTATGTTATTTTCTTTGTGATCGTGAGATTCTAATTTAGCATGCAAGATACGATTTAACCTAATTCAAGTTTGTCCTAATATTTTATCTGAATCGAATTATAAGTTAATATACTTTTTACTTGAAATATAAATAAACTGATTATATATTAAAATAAGTAATTTAATTATTTACATTACAAGAAGAAAATAGTTGCGAACTAGCATGTTCGTGATATGAGATCATCTTTAACCAAACGCACCATAAACACTCCAAGATCATTGTTTAGTCTTTTAATTCACAAAGTCTTTGCTGATTACTTGTTGAAATTCTTATACACAAATAATACAAATGAATATCACCTTTTTATTTTCTTTTACTGTTTGATTGTACGGAGGTTGTAACAATAAATATATAAGGGTTTTAGGGAGAACGGAACAGCTTCTTTATTAACGATGAACGAGAACACAGTAAATTATAGAACGGAAAACCGAAGTACAGAACGGAAAACCGAAAACAGAACAGAAAACCAGAAAGTAAGAGATAAATGAGCTAGGCAACAATTCTCTCTTAAATTCTCTGAGTAATGACTTTAGGTCCGGATCCCCTTCTCAACGGTTTCTTCTACTATTTATAGGCTAGGAGGTGACCTAGGATTCCTTTGATCTCACTTGTGATTTTTCCCTTTTGCCTTTTTGATTCCGTTGGGCCAGGCCGAGCTGATACGTTATTGAGCCGAGCCGACGTTTTGATGGGCTGTTGTTCTGATGGGCCGTTGTTATGATGAGTCGTTGTTCTGATCTATAACCATTTAAAAAATAATATTTTAAGTAAATAAATAGACCTAAAAATTTAATTATACTGAAAATTTGGGCTAAAATTTAAAAGTTTTAATGTGAATCTATCAAGGATTGGCAAAAAAGTTTTTTTTTTCTTTTTTCTAAATAAGTGGTCTAATTATAATGTTTTAAGGGTCTGATTTCTTTTTGCTTAACTAGATGCAGCTGAATATAGCCATACCGTTAAAAAGTTTTTTTTTTATAAATTCAAATTTGCTCAATGGCTTGGTGAATAAGAATTAATGATCACATAATAGACTTCAATGTGCACATAAGAATGGGAACGTGGAGGCTTACCTGGATTGCAATTTCAGCAGGTGTAAAGTCTGAGACACTTCTATAGCCGAGCTTCACTGTAAAATTTGAACAACGAGAGATATTATACGTACTAGTCACAAAACAAAGTTATTTGCTTGCAATAAAAACAATATCTTAAGAAACAATGGTGTTATGGTTTGTAACAAAAGCATTACCACAATACCACTGTGTATACATCTCAAACTCATCATCTTGTAACAATTTTGTTTTTAATCAGTTCCTACAGTGGACAATTTTATGTGATAAGGCTTCTAGATTCACAACAATCCAAATGGTAATACCTTTATAGACTTATACATATTCTCCATTATTCATAACTAAAATTAAACCGAAGTACCAAACAATATCACCAAATGATGTGAGTTTCACATTCTCTTCTTGGTGAAAAGAAAACGTACCAATTGATGGATCTCATAACTACACTTCCTCCGATTGAAACAACAACTTGGATAGTATATCAAAGAGACTTTCTTTGGTGCATCATGTTAAGAAAGAAAGCATGTGAAAAAGCTTTAAGATACAACATAATTAGTAATAGTACTTACTACTTATGTTAGGAAGAAAAGAAGCCCAACCTCTAGCTCTGGGCATAAGGTTTTTTTGCTTAGTTTGTTTCAGATTTTTGGGGTTCGGAAAAATTCTCACTAAATATATAAATGAATTTTAGTTCAGTGCGGTACTGTTCAATTTGGTTTTCTGATAAAACATTATAACAAAAATAAAGAATGAATAATTTTAGTTAAATTTTAGTATGTCTAAATGCAAATCCTATATAATTATAAATTTTTAATAAATTTCGGTTAGTTCAGTTTTGGAATTCAATATAAAAACTTTATACTGTTCGAATTAAAATAAACTGCTTTTCAGATTTAGATTGATTGATTTCGGTTTGATTCGATTTTTGTTAAACAGTTAGATTGTTAGCATGAGTCAAGACCTTTTGTGGTGAACCACCTGATAGACGAAACTACGGATTGGTGGTTATCATGGACTGTTCTCTTGTTACATGATAGATAACGTGTTCTGGTGTTATAGAAACGGACAGTTCAAATGGTATGAGAAGGATTTGAAAGGAATACTGCCTAAGTTAACTAGGTCTTCTGATGTGCGGATTAAACTATCACAATTCTAATACGTTATGATTTATTTTGATTTGATAACACAAACAATATGTATTCAACTGATCCATTAAAACAATGTATATACACATTCGGGAAGTTTCAAATACTACACATCAGTAGTTGGATTGTTTAAAACACTTATTGTATTATTTATTGATATTTTAAGAAATTATTTTTATGT